AACTTTAAATTTCACGGCAACTTAACATTAAGTTAACGTATTAGGATTCAACGTACCTTATGATTTTAAAATTGCATCATCGTCGACACCAAATGTTCATCAGCCACAAACTTCTTATATAACACGAACACGATAGAACACGAACAACTACACACACTACTCAAACACAACACTAATTAACATCAACTATAAGTCAATAAATTGATAACTTACTATGCACTAGACAAGCAGTCGCGAACTGATGGAATTTTCCAGATCAACTGTTCAGTTCAACAATGAACGACGAATTAAACAGGCAGTGGCTTGCTTGCAAATCAGCTGTTGACTGTGATTCGCATAAGATAAAATGGTTTTCCTACAGTCGCCCGACAAAGTTGGCTTCCCTGTACTGTTTATAGTACAGAAAGCTGCTAATTGCTGCATATTTATACTTTGCCGTACGGTTTATACTTTGCCGTACGGTTTATACTTTGCCGCACATCAGGATTCCAACCAAACAACACAAAACAGCGTGGTTTTATTATGCACGTAATCCGTGTACGCTTGGAAATAGGTTGGCAACACTTAAAGATAATAATTCTATGAGCAGCTGATTGACTAATTATAACTACGATTTAACCTGTCATTTCGTGTTTATAGTTTCGGTATTCCTGAACTTTCTGGACTTTTCTTTTAAACGTTTTTAAAATATTCCTACGATCTTAATAAACAAAAAAAATACCTTTTAAGCATTTTTTAAGGCGCGGAAACCACTTCAAATTACTAAAACATACGGAACTATATTCTCAATACGCGTAGCAAATTTCTTGCCGAGGAAAAATAGCGGAGTGATACGGACCGCGGGTACTACTTTCTCTAGGGCACCATTTTTGTTGCCAGCTGAACCTAAAAAAGCTTTGTATAGTGTTTGAAAGACTAATTATTTATATGCTTTATAGTGACTGTAGGAAAAATATAATGTGTAACACGAGTGAAAAAGTTACACAAATAACTATTTTTGTTTAACATGCCAGCCAATACAGTATCTTGATCTAAAATACAGTACTTAATATACTGTATTAATTGGTCCGTACTGTTTAATATATGGTACTGTTGACTTATTTTTGGGTGACGTAAATATACACCCAGGAATATTGTAATAAGATGTAGCCTAGCCTATCTATATATCTAATTCCGTAAGCCCAAAATTTTACAATGAAATTGTGAGCGAACGGGAGGCTGTAGAAAGCTGGGAGAGGTCTCATTTTAAAGGTCTGGGCATGAAGTTTTGGGGAAAATTATTCATTTTTTTTAATTATGCACCAAAAGGTTGTTACGTAATAAAATAATTTACATTTAAATAACATGGGAGTCCAGGTCATGTCTGCTTTGTTTACTTAAAAACATGTGGTTTAACTTTATTTAAAGCATATGGTAATATGTACTGTAATATGTATACTATTATAAAGCTGAAATATAGACTTTTTCCCAAGTTTAAGGGTCTGGATTAGTTAATGGAATAAGATTGGTTGTGATAGGTATGTCTGAAAAAAGTGTAAAGGTAGAAGTAATTACTGGAGTAGGCAAAGGGAACATATTTTTCATGCCAAAAATAAAACTAACATCTAAAGATCCTAATATGCCGTTTAAGTTTAGGGATTCAATTCCTATTGGGATTAGCTTTCGATATTACTATAAATAAAGCGCAAGGCCAAACCTTCAAAAAGTTGGCATTTATTTGAAAAAAACCTGTGTTTACCCCAAGGTCAACTTTATGTTTCTTTTAGCCAGTTAAAGTGGCCAGATGATGTTAAAATAGTATTAAAACAAAATAAAGACCAAGGATTGGATTTAAATGGATACTATACTCTGTTGTTTTCAGAGAGATTTTGTTATGATTAGCATTATACAATTTGGAGGATGACATTATATCTATGTGTTTTATTTAAGTGAATAAAACACCTATATTCCTATATTCAAAGGAATTGATAAATATTTATTTAACAGTGATGAAGATTATTATTGAAAATGTTCCTTAGTTGTATATTATGATTATAAAGTTTGTATTATAAACACACTGCATGAACAGTCCTTTGGACTCTATATTTTAAACAGAACAGACATAAAAAAATTGCATTATGCAGATATGTAATAACTTTTATACATATTATAATATACAAAAATGTTAAACGATAATTCAAGGTAGGGTAACCCATGAGACTAATAATTTGTACAAAATAATTACTAGAATTTTTATATAGGGGCTATTGCCCCTACAAGCCACTTGTTTGAATTAAAATAGCATAAAACAGCTGTGACAAACTCTTTAATGTGGCTTTTCATTGTGCAACTTGTATTATACTGTGATTTCATTTGATTCTCATTAGGTATTTGGCAATTGATTGATAATAAGTCATTAGTAGTACCATATTGCTAATTTTATTTATTTGTAAAAATTATGTTAGTTACTTAACAATACTCACAATTATTCTATTCTTGGCTTTTATTAAATTAAAACATTGTACAGCTTGATTTAGTAATTAGTACATTTCTACTGTATTTAAAAATACCCCCGCCGTAGCAAATCTGCAGACTAAGCGAATGTAAATTGGTTCGATTGGATTGTTACAAAACTATTTCCATAAACAAGCCATATTTATTCTCCATTTAAATAACCTTAGTTTTAACAAGTACTTAGCTTTGCTGCTACGAGGAAGGTAAAAAGTGTTTGTTTTTCAGCAAATCTTAATAGTAGCCTACCTTATTGTATTAAATAGATATATTTGCCAAATTTGATCAGCATAAATGTGATTTGCATTTGGTTATATATTTTTTTTGCATTTTGTATACATACCTAATCTAAATACTTTCAAGTAACATTCCAGTTTTCCATTTTATGACACGAAATAATTTCCCTCTCAATATTTAATTTTCAAGTTGAGTACAGGTTGGCAGTCCTGATCTCAAAAGTGCCGAACATACTAATCAGCTGTTCAGATCAGCTTTAACGTGATCAGGTGATCGGAGGGAACGGTCATTTGTTTCTATCATGTGAAGCGTCCAACCAGTATAGCTTTTATCAGATTTACGCTTTTGGAAACATCTGTCTTCAACTTCAGATTAATTTTAATCTCGAGAAGAGAATCTGTCATCTAAATCTCGATTGGAGTGGTGCATTTGCATTGGTTGGATTTTTTATTTTTTGATATTTGTTTTTTTTTGTGTCTGGGGTTTTCAGTTAATTTTTGTTGACATCTAGATTTGTTGAAAACGCGTTACTAATCATGTTTTGTAGAACATTACCGATTAACAGTGCCATGTTTTGTATTCATTATTTTTATTGACAGCGTTTAATTGATTTTGAAGGTGCTTTACTGGTTATCTTATATGACTTTCGACCATCTTTAACTGCAACTCCCCACACTGTATTAAATATTTGCTGGTTTAAAATATTTCCATCCTCAAAACTTTTTCTCGTTAGCTTTCAAGTTTTAATTGAAGCATTATTCCATCTAATTGCAAGTCGAACACTGCTTAGACATATTTTTATTTATCTAATTTTAACGTGCATGTATGTTTTATTCTTATTCGGGGTAGTTATTTTAAGAAACTGTATATTGAGAGAAATACTCGATTTCCACTCCAGCTCTATGTCTTTAATACTTCAGTGTAACCATGAATGAACATAGTTAATGTCCTCTACTGATCAATTCCACAAGGATATATATTGTTCATGAAACTCAAATACTTTTGAACTAGTACATAAGCGTTTGAGGTACGTCATCGAAACAACAATAGGTCTACACAAGCTCAACCTTGTTTTCTTGTGTAGATACTGCACACTTAACAGTATTCAACATCTCAATATTACTAACCCTTTTACTCTATGGAGATGCACTCCAGTTTGATACTCTGTGTCGTGCCGTCAATACGTCGCGGTGCCGCGGGCTCGCCAGCTGTCTGCCCTCGCCTCTTTAGCATACTGTTTACATCGGTCCATATATGACACGACCATCGCCACTTTTCACCGCCGGCGGCACACGACACACGACCGACAACCCGGTACTAACGAGACGACCAGTGAAGTTTAGGAAAATTATTTCATCAAATAAAAGCTTCTTCGGTAGTAATAATATAAGTTAACAAACTTTGTATGTCATTTGGAAACCACCAATTAGAGATTCAGACCTCTCAGAACAATATTTTGATAGACAAATATGGAACTCAGCAGTTATATTATTTATGTTTATCGGAATATAATTCAAATAAATTCATTTAATTACTGGAAAGCTCGAAATCAGTAGGTTAAGACTTGACAATTTCGTTGCATCTCCGTAACGACCCTTCGTTTATGCATGATCAGACTGTACATCGTATGCAAATTCACCACACTGTAACCATAAAGTGCAATGACGCATGTATAATTTTCTACGAAAACTATTAACACTCCATGCTCACTTTCGTGATAAGGCATCATTTCACCCCAACATAATTATATTTATTGCTCTTACTCTTGCAATTAGGCCTATTACGTTAAGGATAAAGATTATCCAAATCAACTTGACTAAATATTCTCTGTGATTACAGTACATAGACGTGGATATACGATACACTTCGTTCTACAGTGTAAACCTGAGTTCCGTATTTATCAAATTTTTTTCTTTCACTATTCCACAATCCACATCATTGTTCCACAATCCTCGTATTATTCCACAGTCCACATCATTGTTCCACAATCCTAGTATTATTCCACAACCCACATCATTTTTCCACAATCCTCGTATTATTCCACAGTCCACATCATTGTTCCACAATCCTAGTATTATTCCACAACCCACATCATTGTTCCACAATCCTATTGTTCCAGCAACCAAATCGTTCTTCAACTTTCTGTATAGCATATAACCCCAGTTGATTCACAAACCCCATTATTGTTCCACAATTTATTTTTCTTCTGGCAAAATATGCCTCAGGCAATGTTTCTTTTCTTTTAAACCTACATCATCCGTATTATGTTTCAGTTTTGAGGGACGACTTCCGTGCCGAGCCGTCGGATACTCGGGTGGCTGCTGGGGAGACGGCCCTCCTGGAGTGCGGTCCACCCAAGGGGCAGCCAGAGCCTACCCTCCACTGGCGCAAGGATGGGGAGATCGTCGACATCGAAGGCTCAAGCAGGTAATTGTTGTGAACAAACTGTTAAGTTCAAAACAGAATACGACTTGTGAAATAGTAAAGAGATATTTTTAATCTCACTAGTTTTAGTTAAGTATTTAAGTACGGTAATAAAGGCTAGCATATTAACTTTGGCTTTGCGTTTTTTGTTTTTTTTTTCATGAATACCAAATCAGTTCTGAATTATTTTGTTGGCAATCGTCATTTTGTTATTAAATACTACTTTCAATCTGCGCATATAACTACTACTATAAATAACGAGATCTATTCAATTATATACAGAAAATAGTTCTTTAACAACTATATTTCACTCTGTTTCTTCAACAATAGTAAATGTTCTTCAACTTTTTGTTCCCGAAGAAAATAGATGTGGATACAGCAACTCAAAAGAAAATCTTTCCAAATATCCTCCCTAATAATATGCATATCGGGAAAACTTTTTATGGTATAACTGCATGTATTTGATTTCACAGTTAAATGTCAGTCAACTTTTGATTCGTCTAACACAGTAGAAAATACAAGATTTTGCGTATATTTATCAGTTATAAATTGTATGTTCCATAAAATAATTAAATAGCCATATAAACCTTGACAATAATTTACTGCATTAGTAAAAACATAATTTTTATAGCTTTGATAGCAACATTAGAGGCGAAAAATTAACAAACAGCGCCTTAATTTTCATGACGCAATATGGATGTAGTAATCGTTTTGCATAGCGCAAACCGTACGGCGTTTTAATGGTCGATTTTAGTTTATACTACCATGCAAACGATAAACTAATTTTATCATAGAAAGTAATTTTTTTGTAATACCTGTCACTTTATTGAAAAGCTAATTTTTTTACAACATATATTAATTCCCATTAGTGTATAATTTAAATATACAAGTAAACTTTCATTAGTGGCAGGGTTAGAAGCAAGTGTCTTGCAGTTTATCTTAAAAAATTATAAAAACATATAATTAATTAACAAAAACATAAACCTATCTAAAAGTATTAATTTCATTGATAGTAATAACAACATTGATAACAAGAACTGTAGAAGACACAGCAAAGCTTAATTATATCAAGTTTAAACTGATTAACGACAAGAGGCCTATGATTAATGAAAGTGTACAAAGGAAAGAGGGAAGTTATCATGCCGGGGATTGTAGGGGGTGGAAGGGGGGGGGGGTTGAAGAAGACAGATGATAGGGGAGGGTGTTTGTCTGTAGGATTACCTGTAATATGGTGGTGTGTACCTAGCAGGGAGTTAGGAGACTTTACCTAGGATAACTAACAAGGATTGTGTTCAGGAAATATATTATCAGCTGTGTGATGTATAATACTAACCATACAGTATATACAGTGCATTGTAAGTTTAGTCACAATGCATTGACTTTGGACACTAGAGTAGCATCCCATCTATATGGTACAGCTGGGACCATTTTTTTAATACTAAAATAGAAGTAAGAACCTGTTAGCTATTCACAGATTGCACTAGTACCTTGTCCTATTTTCGTCCTTATACATTATTACTGGCATAATTGATGGGCCATCTATATCTCACAGTAAGTCGCCCTATAAAAATATTGAAATATAGATGATAAATATGTGTGTAATTTTATAAAACTAGTATGCATATTACTCCATTTAAATTATGTGTTAAGTCAATAACAAATTAGTATAATAATTTTTTTATGTAGATGGTTTTACATAACAAAAATACTTGTGAATTACCTAAAGTTAATAAAAACTGACTAAGAACAAAATTAAAATTTTCAGTTGTAGAGAGCAGGCAAGGTAAGGCTAAGCTGTCAGGATGAGCCTCGGTTTTTTATCAAATCAGCCATTTTAAGTCACTAAGATTAAGATAGCTGCCATTTTGAAATTTCAAATTGGTCCAAGTTAATTGTTTTCTACCTTTAAAATATGTACCTATGTTTGTAAAGATTAGTTGGAAAATTTGAAAGATCAAAATGTAAAAATATAAAATGTCAAATGTATGGTTGACAAATAGGTTTTAATTTTTTATTTGACTATTAGATCATTATCCCGGATTTTGGCTGTTTACTTACTGGACACCCTGTATAGCTTAATAAATCCCTAACAAACGCAACTGAATAGTATTGTTCTTATACCTAACTAATACTAAACAGTACGAATTATAAACTTGTTTATTAGATATTATAGAACTACCTCACCCTAGCTGTAGCTCTATGCGTAACGTTTCTGTGCTAAACAATGAATAGTTAATGTACTACTATCCTTCAACTCAAACAACCACCCATCCAACGTAATTATTGATTAATATTGATTAAACATATCTCGAGCCTTTCATCTTGTGTCCCAAGAGATATTTCAGCTTCACATTCTGGTTCTGTTTTCTGAAACATCCGCTTGAGCATTTGTCAACGAGAAGTCGAGTGATTGTTTTGCTCAAACAAATTTGCTGAAATCTAAAACAGCTCTGCTGCAAGTAATATATTCCGAATGCGCCGATGTTTGGATTTATTTTCCAAAGTCTTTTGATTTATCACTCTATTGTGCCGTATAAAACAACCGCCGTTTCATTTCAGTTTGTAATTTATGATTTCAATAAATCGAGTTGTCAGAACCATCTATTGGACTCTATTCTTCTCCAGCATGTATTGTTTTCTGTATTTTTCCTTGAATTAATAGAAGTGCCAATTTATATGAAATAGAGTTGTTTTCTATTAAAACCGTTCTGACAACACTAGTCAATTTGTCACTTCTACAGTACGTTTTTTTTTATAGATTATTTATAAACAAATCTTCGAGGTGATAAATAATATATTCAATGGTTGCAGTGATGGATTTGTTAGTAAACTGAATTTTCTAGTCACACAATTTTTAGTCTCTTTGCCAATTAATGTATTTAGTTAATTGAATGTGAGTAAAGGAAATGTCCTATGATGGTTTACTTTATAGCCTTACATATAGTGTCAGATGGATTCTATCTGTAATTCATTTAAAGATATATTTTAATACGCTAAAACCATGTAGGAAAATATCATTTCTTAGATGTTTTATAGCTTCTTATTTAATTAATTATAATCTAAAATACCCCTGCTGCAGCAAACCTGCCGACTTAGGGAATTTCCATTTGCCTGGATCGATTTTCAATTAATCTATTAAATTAACATTTATGTTTAACGAGTACCCAGGTTAGCTGCTACAGGGAAACTAATAAAGTGTGTTTTTTATTAAAATATCAATAGCTTAGTATGAAATAAATAAATCTGCCTAATTTGACCAAAATATATCCATAAACAAGCCAACTACAACATATTATAATATTCTCCATAATAATAACATGGGAATTTTAAATTAAACATTTTTTGAATTTTCACCGTAACCAATCACCGTACAAAAACACTTTGATATACTAAATTATTTGTTTTTTTAAGCTCTTTAAAAAGGTCTGGAGAAAAATTGATAAATTTTGTGTTTTAAGGGTAAAAAATGAGAAAACCCCATTTTTACCCCATAAAACCCCCCGTAAAACACCGTTCCCATGGTCCGATCATGCTGGTTCGCGAACTCATTCAAGTTTATCCCACCTTACACCTTCAAACCAAATTTTATCAAAATCGGACAAAAATTACTCAAGTTATCGTGCGGATGGACACATTATATATATCTCTATATATAGATATATATATACATATATAAAAATTTGAACGAATGGTGTTTTTGGCCTCTGGGGACATCAAAATTAAAAAGTAAATCGGTCCCGGGCCTAGGTCTTACCAGAGAGAGCCTACGGTAATAGCTACTTCCCTATAGGTAAATTCGCTAAAATCATTATTAGAGGTGAGCAAGCCAAATTTCACAAGGAGCTGTTCTCGAGTTGAGCTTCTGGGCAAAGGTCAACTTTAAAGTGATCGTCTCCAGCAATTGTGGTAACATCGGAATCATCTTCCATGATTGTGGTAAAGTTGTGAAGAATCTCCCGCAATTACGGCAACACCATCATCATCATTCCCCGATTACGCGACAAAATTGTAAACGACTCGCGTTATTTCCACAAAAAAAGTAAACATCTTCCACAATAGCTACAGAACCGTAAACATCTCATATAATCGTAACATCTTCCACATTTGCTTCAGAATCCTGAACATCTTGAACGGTTGCGATGTAATCATAAACATCTCATGCGATCGCAACAAATCGATGGTGGAATCATGAACGTCTCGCACGACCTCTGGAAATCGTAAAGACCTCCCACAATCTCAAAGGAGTTGGGAACATCTCGAGCGGGCGCAACAAAAGAATAAACATCTTGCAAGGTCACACAGATTTGTAATCATCTCCCACATTTGCAACAGAATCATGTACATGCCACGTTATTGCAACAAAATATAGTGATCTTCTTCCGCAATCATTGTGTTGTGTTTTGTAGGTATCATCATGTTTTTTTCTCTTGAAAAAAACATGCTTTAGTTTATTGGTGTAGTCTTTGTAGTTGCATTATGTGATCGTGATAATCTCTCGGGAATAAAGCTCGGTTTGGGTTGGTTTGCTTATCTAACTACTTGCACAATCACTTGTTTTTAGGACATGCTCGGCTCAGATTTCAAACTGAGTCTTTGGCACACCTTATACACATTCTCCATCTGCAACCAAACAGCAGATTATTTTAAATAATACTTCTGTAATTGTTGTAGGGTGAGGATCGTGGACGGAGGGAACCTGATGATCTCTGATGTTCGTCAGAGTGACGAGGGCAAATACACTTGTGTCGTGCAGAACCTGGTGGGCTCCAGGGAGAGTGTCGCAGCTAAGCTGACTGTACATGGTAAGAAATCACTTTTGTACTTCATATAATTTATCGTTTGGTTTCTTTTATTTACTTTATAAAATACTTTTCAATACATAAGACAATCAACAAAATTGGAATTTAAAAAAATCTTTGTTTTGATTTTGAGTTTGTTGATGTAGTGCAACTTGTATCAGCTCCTCAAATAAGTAAGGTAATCTATCTTCTAATCTGTAGCTGAAGCTAGTGCCTACTACACATCCTTACACTGTTGTGTGTCTCCTAATTTCATATATCCTACACTCAAACTGAGTGTAATTGTTCCATCTAAATTTCAACATAGGCCGATTGTCCTGTTATCTTCTAATTAATTTTACCCAATCCTTCCAATAGAGTTATAATTGATGTTTATTGCCTTAGTTGGCGGATGGTTATAATGCTTGCATTAAAATTACTGTTATGATTCCATGCGGGATTTCTTCTGTACAATTTATGTACCCATTCAACTAAAGATTGCCGTTAGATACAATTAAGAGTTGGTTTCAAATTCACTATGAATTTGAAACACAAGATAACATTTAACTATCTCAAATCCTAAACAATATCATATACTTTCAGTCAAGCCGTTCCTACTATCGGAGCCACAAGATGTGACAGTGCTGCCCAACCAGAAGGTCCAGCTACAATGTCGCATCGGAGGCGATCCTCCGCCTAAGATACTGTGGCGAAGGGACGACGGAGACATGCCAGTGGGACGTGCTCAGATCCTGGACGACAAGAGTCTCAACATTGAGCACGTCTCTTTGGAGGATGAGGGAATCTACATATGTGACGCTGATAACCTCGTAGGCAGCATCTCTATGAGGACGTCCCTAACTGTCCATTGTGAGTCAGAGTTTGTGATTAGTTAGTTGGTTTTGCAGGGGCTTTAACTATGTATGGAACAAGAAATTCCAAGTCTATTTTAAAATTGTAGTTAATTTTAGAATAAAATGAACAAACTGTTGTTGAATTGAGCCACTTAAAAGAGTGAGTTGAAAAAAATTACTGGTTTCTGTGGAATACGTTAACTTTTTGACCTAACCAAACTGGAAGGGCAAAAACAAATTTATTAAACCAATAGCAATACCACGAGTACATAAATTTAATTTTCACGCTCTAATATAACATTTTAATTGGTTTTAGCGCCACCAGCATTCAAAAAGAGACCACATGATCAAAAAGTTGGGCTGAATGGAGTGGCCAAGTTCGACTGTGATGCGGAAGGAAATCCACGACCCAGTGTTTTCTGGACCAAAGAAGGGAGTCAGGTACTTTCTGATATGAATTGTTTTAGCTGTAAACAGTATTTATATCATTAGCTCTTACTTTTGGTTTTTAGGTATCCATCTAGTTAAAATTTTAGTTTGTTATTCCAAATATTTTGGATGAAATAAGCATTTAAACATTTGATTGGTCAGTCACAGTGAAGATTAGTCACCATTAAAAGTGTAGTTTATTTAGTTATCACACTTTGAAAAACCCGTCAAATAGATCTAAAAAGTATGTGTACATTTGAATCTTTAATATAAACATTTTGACTATCAATTTATTGGTAAACTCAGTCAACAAGTATAACTGAAACATTTTAAAAACTAAAATCCATTTCATTAGACCCTTCTTCTAACACGTCTTCTTCAAAAGTTATGTTTCCTTGATATCATAAGAATGATAGTAAAGGTCAGACTGAATAATGGCACGGTTTTAATCATAAAAATCTGCTACATAAGGCTTGTTCAAATAACGTGATCGGGGATGGAGCTTAACTGCGGCCAACGAATAAGGTATACTTCATCCTCACCCGCCTTCATTATTTGAACAAACTATAGTGATGATAACTTTTATTTCCAGGTGCTGATGTTTCCTGGAAACTCCTACGGGAGGATCAATGTCACTCCCCAGGGAACTCTCAGCATCCAGGGAGTCCAGAGGGAAGATTCCGGATACCTAGTGTGTTCAGCTCTAAGTGTTGCTGGCTCGGATACTGCTAGAGCTTTTTTACAGGTTTGTGGTTCATCTGTCTTCTAATGATAAAGTGAGGAATCTTGAACATTTAAAAGATCTGTTTATAGTTTATTTGAATAAAGAAAGGTAGTAAAAGAAGGAATCTTCCTAGGGCTAACAAATGAGGTTTGTCTTCATTTGCCTCAGGTAGGCCCATCTCCAACCACCTTTTTGTTATTTGACAAAATTATCGAACTTCTTGTGCAACATCATTCTATCTTCTGTTAACCAATTCAGTTAACATCTATGTATGATGATTATCTAACTCTTTCCATTAAATAACAAATTTTTTTTAATGTAAACTTAAAAAATATACCTATTATGTTCAGCTAGGAGTTATGTTTACAACTAGTTTCAACCTTCTAGGAGGTAATCATCAGGTGTGTACAAGGATGATATTACTTCATATGAAGGTTGTCAGTAACAGTTCTTTTACACTTACACAAACACATGACGAATAAACACATAGCGTGCAGTCACACACATCCCACATTTGAACAGTCTAATGAGATTATGCTCATTCCAGGTAACGTCAGTAGAAGATGTTCCTCCGCCTCTGGTAGAGGTGGGTCCGACCAATCAGACGCTTCCGTTGCAGTCCGTCGCTACTCTGCCTTGCCAAGCACGTGGGAGTCCCTCTCCTCGCATCAAGTGGTATCGCAATGGAAGTCCTGTGGATCCCCACGCTTCCTCTAGGATCAGTATTCTTCCTTCAGGAACTCTACAGATTGATGGTGATTCAACAATACAATTGCTGTTATAAGATATTATTATTATAAATCAAATGTTTTGAGTTATCTTACTTGTTAGTATGTTTCAAAAAGATCTTATATGATTTAGCAAAATTGTATTTACACCTACACCTAACATAAACATAACCTATTTAATTTATTTAACAACGCATAACAACATAATCAAGCCTAAACTATCTTATATCTACAGATATTTCTGGCTTCCCAGAAATAAGTGGGATCAGTGGTCAATCAAGGCCCAACTAGAAAAACAGGCCATGCTGCAGGATCCATGACGTCACACTAGTGGATAGATTTCATTGATAAATTCATTGCCTTCGCCATTCCCATATGTTTTAGGTAAATAAGCAAGCTGGCTGTTTGTAAGATTTTAATGGTAAGAGTTTAGTACAACTATCCACCACTGTGACGAAGTGTTGCCCGTGCTGCAGCATGGCCTGTTTTTCTAGTGGGGCCTTGGGTCAATAGTGACAGGCATTAGGTACATTTAAATAACATAACATTTTAAATTGTAAAAATAAATAAATAAATCTAATTTTATTTACTACTAGGTAAACTCTTATAATTTTTAGTTTTGTGCAGACCTATAGCCAAAGCGGTCTGTCTTCCACCCCTAGTTTAGGTTGGAGAATTATTCACCGCTTTCTAAAACAATCTTCCAAGTTCATATCTTTGCTAGTATTTTATCCCAACCGGACACTTCATTTGTACCCCACTAACACCTCCTATTTTTCTTTATTCCTTTAATCTGTTTCCTTATTCCCATGTGCATTTCTTCTACTTTCTTGCATTTCAAATTCAATCTTCTTACTTTTCATCCTCCTACACATTTGAGCAAATCTCGTGATTATGCGCTTTGTGCATCTCATACTTCTGGTTGCTGTGCAGATCTGCAGCCGAGTGACTCCGGGCTCTACACGTGCACAGCCAGCAGTGAGAGTGGTGAGACATCGTGGTCTGCCTCTCTCAGTGTTGGAGGTCCCAGTGGGGGCTACCACAGAAGTCCTGACCCCGCCACATTTCCCCGCCCACCCGGGGCTCCCCGGATACTCAACACTACTCAGTCCTCAGTCACCATGGCCTGGGACCCTCCGCCCGGGCCACTGCACTCCCCACTCATAGGTATGTTGGAGAAAATGTCAAGTCTAATTTAATTATAAACTGCATGGTTAAGCCCCTGAGCTATGCGTTCAAAATCATTCACCAACGGTTGATCACCTCAAAATATTTCTGGTGGTTAGTCTTAGTACACTAACCTCCAATGCAAACATTTCCAGCAGATTGACTGTTGGTGAGTATAGTATTTATTGTAATTTCAGGCAGTGTGTATTTCTGGAAGGTTGATAAATCTAAAGCACAATTTTTCACAGCTTGTTCTCTATTTAAGTGTGTGGAAATATTTGATAGTTTTCCAGGTAGGCTTCCACAGTCACACTTAAATATAATATCGGGATAGTCAGGGTAAAATATAATATTACAGGAAACTTGAGCTGACGTTTCAGCCTCATTTCCCAGATGGACATCTTTATAGCATTCATTATTGCTGCATTACCGTTATGACATTTACAGTATCACTGCAACTGCAATAAATAGTATCAATACGTGAACGCTGAATATCCTTGAACAAGCAGCACAGCAGCAGTAAATCATTATAGCTTTGCTTTGATACAATACTAATTCAGACGAAATGTTGTTTCTCAGGATACACTTTGGAATACTTCAGTTCAGATCTTCAAACCGGCTGGGTGGTGGCAGCACACAGAGTCAATACAAATACTATTATGGTAAGAAATTATATTGTTGTAAATAAATAATTAAGAAAATAATTTTTCTGGTGGTCCTTATAGTAAACTAGTTATATAATTAATTAAATTTATAGTATATGATACATACACAAATTCTGTCAATAACCCTTGTCTATTAAGAATTAAAATTTACAGTTTTTCTTTATAATTTTAATATTTGAGTTCCTATTCAATTATCTTTTTAATTCAAACACACCATTTTATCCTTATTTGAATCGCAGATCACAGATCTGAAGCCAGACACGTCATATGTGTTTGTGGTGAGAGCGGAGAACTCCCAAGGCATCTCAGTACCCAGTGAGATATCCGAGGTAGCTCATACGCAGGGAACACATCTGCGAGATGTCCCGATTCATCAGATCAACGAAGCCCGAGCTCGGCTGGCAACCAAGGTCATCATACTGCGCAACCTGGAGGCTACCAGCTCCACCGCTGTTCGGATAACTTGGGAGGTAAGAATGATAATTGGACTTTACAGCTTTGTTCCATAACTTACCTTGCCTCTTCCTCCTTAGCCATTGTATAACCTGGGTAGGTTTATGTCCACTCTACTCAATTCTGTCATCTGTTGTCCGATGTCCTTTTCAACTTCGTCTTTCCACACAATTCTTAGCCTGCCATGTGGTTTTCCTGCTGGGTTTCCCTGAAGACAATCTCTGCTGGTCCTTCAAACGTCTTTGCAAATTATTTTTACCTAAACTTCCTTGTCCTTTGAAACCGCAGTAGGTTTTGGCCCCAGTGACGATTCCTTTGCACTCTTTTCTGTCTTAGTTGAAATATAGTGCAAATTTTAATGTAGTCTATCAATATCCTTTTAAACTTTGTCCTCCCACCTCATTTTTGGACTGTCAAAAGAAACCTGCTTCCCAATGGATTTCCAGAAAGACACTTAAGATTATTAAATGGAATTTTCAAACTAATATGACACACCTTGTACTACAATCTAATCATTCTTCAGTAAAAAGAGATACTAACAGCAATAGTTGATTCACATTTTTCTTAATTTTGTTCTAAAAAGCAACTCATATATAAGTTCTATCTACGACACTACAGTTTTTTTTATTCCTTTTAGATTGTAACCGCAGAAGATTTCGTCGAGGGGATCTACGTAAGGTTCAGAGACATATCGGGAGGTGAGAATAAGTACAACATGGCTACAGTACTCAACGCTGGAGCTCTCCACTACACTGTCACTAACCTGCAGAAGTACACCAAATACGACTTCTTCCTTGTCCCGTTCTTCAAGATGATCGAGGGTCAACCATCAAACTCCAAGGTGGTCCAGACGTTGGAAGATGGTAGGTTAAAACTTTTATTTGATTAATGTTGCATTTGAGTAGCTTTTTGGATTGCATCAATTAATTTACTTACTCCAATTCTGCATAGAACAAATGCAACCCTGATGCTAAACCTAAAGGTCTACCATTGAAAGTATTTTCCGATCCCTTTCATTTAGAGAGAATGGTTAACCTTCTTAATTCCCTTAGTAGACTTAATTATTTTTAGTAGACTAGGTTTAGAAGAACATCCCTGATTATTTAAGATTATGGAATAACATTTTAGTGACTGTAATATATTATAGTACTTTTTAGTATGAAATAAAATCCTATTCAAAAATTGTACTACGATTTCCACTAATATGTATTTAATAACCATTTGAATAAAAAAACAAGATGATGCAAGAAAATCTTATTGAAAATTATTATGTTCTATTCCTACTAATATTTTAGGTAAGTATTGTTACTAACAAAAGAGGTAGTCCGACAGAACCAAATAAGATTTTCACTTATTTCACAAGGATGATGTTATTTATTAAATTTGTTGTTTAGTTCCGTCTGCCTCCCCTGAGGACATCCAGATGTCTTGGGTCAATTCTTCGGCTGCTTATATCAAATGGTCCCCACCTCCTCCCCAGCATCATAATGGAGTTTTGTTGGGTTACAAGGTTAGTTTGAATGCACACAGCCATACTACTATAAGTTTTGTATGGCATTATTAAGTATATAAAATCAGTTTTTTTTTATGTTTCTTCTGAAGTTTTTGAAAAGAAAATACAGTGGTGGGGTGAAACTGAAACTCAAATCTAATAACAACCTAAACCTTCGATAAGTTTGGTTTTTGAGATTTTATTGGTCTGTTTGTTTGGTTGGTGTTGATTTCATTTGGTTTGATTTTTGGTTGGTTAAACCGCCCTGCCAAAAGATTTCTAGTGTTGACCATTTTACTAAGAAAATGTATTACAGTACTAGCTACGAGTTTGGAAGTCTGATGAATGCTTTTAACTTTAAATGAATCCAGTATTGAAAAATAATTTAAATTTAAAATATGCAATCTTGTTGTCTCTCTACACACCATCATTTTTTAAATGGCATTTGTTGACCAGTTGATCAAACAATCAATATGTTACGTTGGTTTGGTAGACAACCGACATCCAACCGGCAACTTAACTTAGATCTGATCAATGTATCAATGTACGTAAACACTAATACAATGATATTCCCATCTTGTATTTCTGTTGTTCAGGTTCAAGTAAAGCAGAACACCAAGATAGTTCTACAACAGACAGTCAATGTCACGACCCAGACTGTCATACTTCCCAATATCTCTCTCCATGGAATACAAGGTAAACATAGAGTTTAAGTGTTTATATTAAATACTGTTTAGACAAGAAAAATAGACAGTGAGTAGTTATTGTCAGCTAATTTAACCCTTTCCTCACAAATAAGCATTTGGAATGTTTTCAAGCATTTGATGACCCAACACCGTAACTGTAATCAATTAGTAGATCCCTTGTCATAGATTACGAGAGTCACCTTGACCCTTAAACCATCCATGATCCATGGTTAGGAAACTACAACAGATTGAAATGAAAGTTAAGCAGAGTTAAACCAAACTTCTTTAGGTAAAATTTAATTTGTTCGAAGCACAGACCTTTGATGAATATGTAAACGGGCAAATGGTCAAAAGAGACCATGGGGAGTCTTACTTTCTTTACATGTTATGTGATTATTTTTACTGTGTTTTTGTAGATAAATTCTTTGATTTTCAACTTAGGCCTCATTATTGTTTTCCCAGGCATGGGTGTGCGGGTGGTGGCCTACACAGCTGTAGGTATTGGTCCGTATTCTCCGATGGTGAGTGTGGCCGAAGCTCTGATGGATCCGTCCGCACAACCTAGTCATCCCTCCTCGGCTTCTGACACTGTGTATGTCCTTATCCTCGGCTTCATCATCATCTTCGTCATCTTCGCCTTTGTTGCCACCTACTACCTCAAGAAGAGGCAGAACTTCAAGAAGGAACTTGGTCACTTGAGTGGTAAGTGCTCAAAAAATATAAAATCAAAATGATTGTTGGGTAGTTCCTAAAAATATTTACAGTAATAATAACTTTGACTACCGTACTGTTATGTGTTTTTCAGTACCGTGGTAGCAATTCTTTTGTAAAATAAAAATTTACAACTTTTTTTATAAACCAATAATGGTTTATTTATTGTCTATTATATTAATTCACAATATGTTATATAACACAGTGGACGTCATTGAGTCTTACAAAATGAATCGGTGAGCTTAAAACTGTTGATGGCATATTTTCCCTGAAATTGTTACTGATTGTTCATTCCTTCCATCTTTCCCTTCTGGATACTGATCAATTAATAAACCATAACCAAGCCAGCACTGCTACTTCGTCTAACATCTTACGTCTATTCATTCTGTAAGTATATACAAACATTTCAGAGCAAATTCAATTTAAAACTATTTTCCAGTTCCAGTGATGAACATGAATGACCTCAACCTAATGGGGGGAGGTAAGGAGACACTGTGGATGGAGGCTGGATGGGGAACTAAGAGTCAGGGTCACGGAGGTCAAGGTCATCTGTCAGACAGTGACTATGCTCAGGTACTAAACATTGTAAAATATATTCATCGTAATTTGTTTGTTTGCAATTGAAAATGTGAGCATGGAATACTTTCTCAATTACAAAAGATAGTCAACATCCTAGTTGGATACTCTGTTGGTTTTATGGAGCTTGTTAAATAATATAAAGGTTGCCAGATCGGGAGAAAAGTTTGAATCTGCTGGACACTGGGGTCCTTGAACTGTGGGATTTTTATTGATCATGGCTAAAGAAACAATCTGCTGGTCGTAGTCAGTTGTTGACACACTCATTGACTATGGCTCTACAGTCATCCTTAGCTCATCTTCACCTTAAACTGCAGTGTTTTGTTTCCTTGTTCAAGATATGTAAGGTCTTTACCTATAGTTTGGTCCCTATATTAATAAGCATTCAGGGGTGTAGGCCTAATACTTTAAATAATGTGCAGTACAAAACTGTATTTTCTAGCGTTTTATACCAGTCATCATCCTCTTCTCTGTGCAGGGTCATGAATGTAGTGGATGTTTGGAGCTCTTTGAACCGAAGGGATTATAAGCTGATTTAACTAATCTTATTTTTATTAAGTTTCGCCCATCAGTTCAAAGTCCTCCCCTCTCCCCTGTTTCTAGGTGTGCTCGTTCAAATTGATTCAAACCATAACTGGTGGAGTATTTCTGTACATAACTCAAGTAATTCTCGTTTCAGGTGGATACCAGAGGAATGTCTACATTTTACAACACCAGGAAGGAGCCTCTAGCCAACCCCACACCCTATGCTACCACTACTCTGGTCAACAGCAACATGGTTCCCAATAACAGGGCTGATTCTACAGTGAGTTCACATTTAACTACCATTTTTATTTGAATTTGTTAAGTACGTGCAACCTTAAGGGATTTTCAGGGAAAAATGTTCTTCAAGGATTGTCAGTTACAGGGGAAAGCCTACAAAGCAGTTCACTCATAATCATTTTGACGGTGTCTCGTATAAAGCAGTTTTTTCTCTCTAAAAGTATAATGTATACGTTAACCAACATTAGACCTACTACATGGTGATCAACCAGTTGTGTATGATTATGTTGAAATTACTTACTGATCCCATTATATTATTTTTCTTTACTTTTCACATTCAGAGTATTGTTCACTCTGTGAAATGTTGGCAATATGGCTTTGTAATCGCAAATAAGTAAAGCTTTACCCATTATCCTACAGCAAGTCTCAAGATATATGTTTACTCAATTAATTTGTAACATCCAAATCAACCATTTGACACAGGAAACTGTTACAGGAAACTGGTCCACTAATAGTTCCCATGGCAATGAGTTCTTCTTCCGAGGCAAAAACATCAAGTTCTGGCGATTCGTGGACGAAGAAGGAGATGAACCTAAACCAGGACAATCAGGATTTTAGAAACATGTCAGAAGGTGTTCCTGTGTTCATTGGTGAGTTGAGTTTAAACTTATCAAGATTAAAAATACCCCCGCCGCAGCAAACCTGCCGACTAAGCGAATTTCCATTTGTCTTAATTGATTTTCAATTAAATATATTTTATTAACATTAGGTTTAACGAGTACATAGGTTTGCTGCTACTAGGAAACTAATAAAGTGTGTTTTTTTGTAAAATATTGATAGCTTAGTACAAAATAAATAAATTTGATCAAAATACAAAATATATCCATAAACAAGCAAACTACAACATTTTACAATATTCTCCTTAAGAAACACATGGGAAGCACATGGGGTACATGGGAATTTTTAATTTACAATTTTTAAATTTTCTCCGTTACTATTAACCGAACAAAAATACTTTTATATACTAAATTAATTGTTTTTTTAAGCTCTTTAAAAAGGTCTAAAGAGAAATTTTGTGTTTTGAGGGTCAAAAGTGAGAAAAACCAATTTTTACCCCATAAAACCCCCCGTAAAGCCCCGTTCCCATGGTCCGATCATGCTGGTTCGCGAACTCATTCAAGTTCATCCCGCTTTACACCTTTAAACCAAATTTCATCAAAATCGGACAAAAATTACTCAAGTTATCGCGTTCACGGTCGTATATATATATATATAAGTCTATATATATATATATACATATATAAAAATTTGAACAAATGGTGTTTTTGGCCTCTGGGGACATCAAAATGAAAAAGTAAATCGGTCCCGGGTCTAGGTCTTACCGTGCCACCTACGGTAATAGCTACTTCCCTATAGGGTGTACCGTACTTTTTGTGTGGCACTTAACCGGTACAAATTTAATCTTGGGAAATACGATTGAATAACATATCAAATGAATAATAAATTTATTGGAGTATCAAAACTACAGCTAAGCATCCTGCAGAACAAGACTTTTCAATTTAATGTACCTTTTTACAATTTAAGAAAATATTTAATTAATTCTAACCCCATTGAATACTTGAAAATTAAGGATAGGATATTAAAAGGTATTGTTCGTCTTCATTACTCGGAAACATCAACCCTAATAACAAAACATAGTCTTTGTTGTAGAGTTACATTTAAATTTACTTTATGTTTATAAAATTATACAATCGAATACCAAACAAAACTTACTATTGTTGTAAACAGATCCTGCAAATCAAATAAGAACATTTATGTAATTTTTATATATTAGGCAACTTTAACAAAATAGTACAGTACCTTCAAGTGAAGGGTGAATCGCTGACGAAGAGAGTAAAAGAACCGCTGACCGTATATACAGGGAGCCACCATAGGAATGGTCTCTGTCTCAGCAGTGGAAGGGTGTACCCCCACCACTTTACATTTTTGACTCATCACTCTTTACTTGTCCCTACAGGTTTCCTTCATACATGTAATCATAAATGTTATAATAAATGATTGGAAAATTATATAAAATGAATAATACAATATGGTACATTATTCCCCCCCCACAAAATTGGACAATCATTTATGCATACTGGCATTTTAAAAGCTTCTAAAATTCCTTAAAACTACGAAATACAAGGTACAAATAGGTAAACTATAAACACTGAATTATATAAAAGTCATTCTGTAGCTTCAAAACACTTGGATGAGATAAAAGGTTCTTTTGCCAGGAACCAACTAAATATGCAGCGGGTAGTAGGCGGTTCACCAACACCGGCGATGACCTTGGCTCAGCTGGGCTGCGTCTTCTTCAAAGGGGATAAATTTCGGAATGGAAAAGGAAAAGGATATTTTTATTGCACCCCCCCACTAAATGAATCAGTTGTTCTACATTAAAAGAGCATTCTACTTTTTGTATTAGTCAATTTTTATTTAGTCTTGTTCTGAGTTTTAAACGGTAATCTAGTACGTAACTTTAATTTTATGAACTTGCTCTATTTACTTTTACCTTAGTTCAACTAACTTATTCAATCAACAATTACAATCCAATATTGTTTTAAACCTATTTTATAATTAAATAATATAGTACCTTTGGTTATAAACAAAAGTAAAGTTTTCCAGTGGATTTAGTGAACAGTGAAGTATACTGTGTGATCACACAACATACACGCAAACCTTATACTGGCCTTTTCTTTACAATGTTACCTTACAGATAGCTACAATATTATTAACTATAAAAAAAAAGGAAGTCAAGTGGCACAATCAATAAAATAAACACTTCTCCTGACTAACTTAAATGTTCTACTTTACATAAACTCCTTATTTCTCCTTTATTATTTTATTTTTTTGACATAAATCTCTCTCCTCTATTTAATTTCACATTAGTGTTCTATGTAACTTCATGTTTACAACGCTACTTAACTGTCCTTTTGTTTCAGCATTCATGATCGGATTCATGATGTAATCTATATTAACACATGTTAATTAGCTCCAATTGGTCCTTTGTTGTCTTGTCCGGTATCTTTATTTGAACTAACATAAAGTTATTCAAGAACAATGTATTATAATTGCAATGTTTTCATTTACAATGAATATTACTTTTCGTTTTCTAGTTAACCTAAATATATACAAGAGTATCATTTTTGCCACATTTTCATATAAAATGAACATGCGTTTTCTCTTTTCTTAACCTAACTATTTACACATGATCGATTGCTTTTAATGTACAGAACGGCTTAAAATAACTATATTGCAGTTATTTACAATACTGGTCAATTTACCTACTACACCTTTCACAATCAGGTCTTATTATGTATTTTCAGTTGGCTAATGTGAGCGCGTCTTACAATTTCCGGATTTTCCTGTAATTGTATTATGACACTGACTGGAGACATGAAGTATATTATTTTATAAGGCCCTGTATATTTGAAATCCATCTTAGCTTGGTAATTATCTATCTTTTTACTTAGCATTTGATTTTCTAAATATACAGAACTCCCTATTTTAAATGGATGTTTTACCCTGTCATCTCGGTACCTTTGCCTATTTCTGTTGTGACCTACTGAACGTTTACAATTTCTAATTGCTTTAGAAAACTTATCTTTTATTTCATCCTGACTTAATGTTACATCTAACAATTCATTTAGTTTCCAAAGATTGCTTAAGCTATGATTTGGCTTGTGGTTAAACATGAGTTCAAAAGCCGTGCATTTAGTAGTTTCACACAGTGAAGTATTTAAACTAATTTGAATATAGTTGAGCTCCACACACCAGCTGTTTTGAGTTTCGTGATGATAAGCTCTTATCTGTTGTTTAACATTCCTTAAGAACCTTTCTGAAATATTTGGGTTCGGTCTATAGGGTATTAACCTATGGTGTTCTATTGAATATTTAAACATAAGTTTTTTGAACAATAGACTTCGAAAACAAGAACCGTTGTCTGATACAAGTTTCTTACAAGAACTGAAATTATTAAATATTACATTTTCTAGCTTATTTGCAATGGTTTGCGCTGTAATGTCCCTTACTGGAATTAACCATACATACCTCGTGAAAGCATCTACAACAATTAATATATGTCGATTACCCAACTTACTTCTGACAAGGGGCCCAGCTGTGTCGATATACAAACAGTCAAGGGGTTGTTTGCTTAAACCTGACACTAATTCACCATTAAATCGTTGCTGAGGAGGTTTTGCCTTTATACAAATCTGACAATCTTTTACACGTTTCCGCATTTCAGAAACTAAATTTGGTCTGTAAAAGTACTCTAACACTTTATATACAGTGCGATTTTGACCTTGGTGACCCCCAAAATTTGACGTATGATAGTAATTGAATAACATATCTAACAAGCTATTTGGTACGTAAATCCTACCTGTCTTGTTACCGGGCTTACTATACATTAAAGTTCCATTCCTAATGTAAAAATTGTCCTTACATGTCTTATTTGTAACACTTTGTATAATTGCTGCACATTCTGGATCTAATCTTTGGTGTTCTGCAATGTTTACATAAGCTAATGGTATATTCGACATGCTGTTTATTACAGGTTTAATTTGCCTTTTGCTCACAGAACTGAATTTCTTTTTGTTTTTACATTTCACTAAACTTATTTGTCTAGGATCTGATTCTACTTCAATAACTTCAATTCCGCTCTCAGACATATTGAGACGTGACAAAGCGTCTGCCACAGGGTTTTCTTTACTTTTGACATGAAGAACTTTAAAAGGCAATGCGATAATTTGTTCTACCCACCTTGATAACTTTCCCAACTTGTTAAAATGTCCCAATACCCAGCTAAGAGCGCTATTGTCAGTTATTAAATAAAATGGCTGAATTTCTAAATACATGTAAAATTTCTTAATGGCTAGGAATACAGAGTAGGCCTCTTTTTCATACACAGACATATTCATTTCAGAAGGTGAGAATTTCTTACTATAGTACGCCACAGGTACCTTGTCACCATTGTCGTTACATTGCAATAATGTCGACCCTGCACCGTTTTGTGCAGCATCAGTAAACAGATAAAATTCCCGTTTAAAGTCCGGTATAGCAAGCACCGGAGGGTTTGTGATAGCTTCTTTTAATTTACAAAAACTTTCGTTACACTCTTTAGTCCATTCAAATTTTACTCTCTTTTTTCTAAGTTCGTTTAGTGGTGCTGCAATTTTACTGTAATCCTTTATATATTTTGAAAAGTAGTTAATCATACCAACAAAAGTTCCTACTTCTTTGCTATTTTTGGGAGTGTTGAATTTACGTACAGCATCTGTTCTACTTGGGTCTACTCTAATCTGATTTTTCGACACTAAGTTTCCTAAATAGCTTACTTCATTATAGAACAGTTTTACTTTCTTGGGGTTTACAGTTAGGTTGTGTCTACTTAACCTATCTAATACCTCAGTAACATGTTTCATGTGTTCCTCTTTGTTTTTTGAAAATACAAGTATGTCGTCTACAAAGTTAAGTACGTAATCAAACTTTACATCTCTAAAAACATTGTCTAAATAAGCACTAAGTAGCCCAGAGCCACAATGTAGTCCATAAGGGATTCTATTGAATTCAAAAAGGGACACTCCATTACTGAACGCAGTCAGATGCTTGGACTCTTCACTGAGGGGTATTTGCATAAAACTGTTGGACAAATCAATTATGGAAAATACATCGGCATTTTGTAAATATTGGTAAAATTCATCTAGATTGCCTAATGGGTGATTTACTCGTACAATCTTTTCATTTAGTTTTGCATAGTTAATTACAAGTCTACTTGATTTATCTGGTTTTGCTACAAGGAATGAGGGACTACTGTAACTACTTATGCTAGGTCTTATAATTTTTTGCCTAAGTAGGTCGGATAGAATCTCCTTCATTTGGCCCATTTTTGTTGGATGAATCGGGTACGGACGCTGGTTGATAACCTCATTGTCCTTGAGTTGGATTTTAAATTCAAAATTCAATACCTTTCCTATGTCTGTAGTAAACACGTTAGAAAACCTCTCCTTTAAACTGTTTACAAAAGGTATCATGTCCTCACATCCTGTGTCTAACTGTTGCTCCTTGGACTCGTTATCACTTAACTTAGATAAGCACACAGACCTGCCTTCCTTACCATTTAGAAATACTTTAACATTTGGGTTAAATTTAAAATAACAACAATTTTTGCTTAAATCTAGTATCATTTCACTTTCTCTTAAAAAAGGACTACCTAAAATCATTTCACAACTCAGTTTCTTTATAACAGAGAACTTTACGTACCAGGCAAAGTTTATTATTTTAACTTTTACTACACATTCTCCCAAAATACTAATCGTACTGTTGTTTGCCGAAATACATGATTCTTCTTTATAATTCATACTGATAACTAACTTTTTTTTACATAAGCTATTGTACAAATTTTCACTTAATGCATTTAAACAGGCTCCAGAATCAATTAACGCGCTTACTTTTGGAACTTCATCAGACTTATATTTCCTTTCTAACTGGACGGCTATTGTAGGCAAATTAGACATTGTACATGATTTTGCTAAATTTATTTTATTCATAATTCTACGTTGAACCCTCTTAATTTTATACATTTCCTTCTTCGTAAATTTACTCAGATTATACTCATTATTTCCCTTAGCTTTATCTTTTACAGGGGAATGTTTTTGTTGCATAAAACTATTTACATGGCATGATCGTGGTTTATTTTGTACATGCACAAAACATCCCCTACTAACTAGTTTTTTTGATACTGATCCCTTCTAAAGCAATTTCTAGCTAAGTGTCCCTCACGGTTACACACATAACATTTTTTTGTGAATGGTACCTTCTGTTGAGTCGTTTGCTGACTTTCCCTTCTAACAGTTTCACTACGCTCTTCAGTAAGTCTTAAGTTATTTTTTACATCAATACTTAAACTATGTATACAAGCCTTTTCTAGGTCTGCAATGGTATTAAGATTTCTGACTAAAGACAGATTTACTCTACACCTTGGGTTTAAGCCAATTAGTATAAACTCTACCAGCTCAAATTCTGTATAAGAACAATTTAGTATTTTAGCATACTCTTTAACTCTATTTATGTACAATGGAAGGGGTTCATTGGTTTCCTGATGACGTGTGACATGTTGTTTGATTAGGTCCTCCCTAACGCTTATAGGTACAAACAATTTGACTATTTTCTCTTTAACAACCTCCAGACTATTTTCTAAGTTACTTAACATAACATCAAGAAGTGGAGATTGTGACTTAGCTACGAAAATTTCCAAAATCTGGGCATCTGACAACCTTGTTTCTTTTTGGACTTTGAATAAAATCTTAATGAACTCAATTAGCTCACTAGTCACTAATCCATTGCATGTTGTTATATCCTTTAGGTAAGTTTCTATTGGATTGGGTAACTTTCTATAAATTTGGGGATCAAAGGGTGCGGGGGTGGTTGAAGCACAGGCGTTCGAATCAAGGAGTGGAACTTTACACCTACTCAGTTCAGCTTTACGTTCCGGATGGGAAGGGGATGTGTCAGGATCATTTTCAAAAAATACATTTTCTAAATTCTCCTCCTCTACATTTGATTCACTTAGCTTACGGATCGACATTTCAACCGCGCTCTTATCGAATTCCAACGCTTCAAACTTATCTTTCATTACTTTACATTTTTCTAACAGTTCTTTACACTCACCCTTTTGTTTTTCTGTTAAACTACACAAACTTAACGCATTTAATCTATGCTTACAATGTTTGATTCGTGTATCTTGCCTTGCTAGCTCCATTGATCTACTGTCCTTAGTTAACTCTGCACATTTATTCTCTATTAAAACAATTTTCTCACTAATTAAATCTATTTCCTCATCCGGCACAATTTTTGTTTTAATTGAATCATAATTTACTTGGACCTTTTGTGATATAGCTTGTCTTAACATTTTTCTTAAGTCAACAACATTACTTGTTTCACTTAATTTTAAATTTCGTACTTCTAACTCAAAGATAAGTTCATCTTTTAACAATAAATCCACTTTAATCGTCATGTTTGCAAATTTGTATTAATTAACACAAGCTAAATACACAATTTAAAAGACAATTATTTTACACAAGATCCATGACTGATCCATAAAGCAGAGTTGCGCATTTTTTGTACCGTACTTTTTGTGTGGCACTTAACCGGTACAAATTTAATCTTGGGAAATACGATTGAATAACATATCAAATGAATAATAAATTTATTGGAGTATCAAAACTACAGCTAAGCATCCTGCAGAACAAGACTTTTCAATTTAATGTACCTTTTTACAATTTAAGAAAATATTTAATTAATTCTAACCCCATTGAATACTTGAAAATTAAGGATAGGATATTAAAAGGTATTGTTCGTCTTCATTACTCGGAAACATCAACCCTAATAACAAAACATAGTCTTTGTTGTAGAGTTACATTTAAATTTACTTTATGTTTATAAAATTATACAATCGAATACCAAACAAAACTTACTATTGTTGTAAACAGATCCTGCAAATCAAATAAGAACATTTATGTAATTTTTATATATTAGGCAACTTTAACAAAATAGTACAGTACCTTCAAGTGAAGGGTGAATCGCTGACGAAGAGAGTAAAAGAACCGCTGACCGTATATACAGGGAGCCACCATAGGAATGGTCTCTGTCTCAGCAGTGGAAGGGTGTACCCCCACCACTTTACATTTTTGACTCATCACTCTTTACTTGTCCCTACAGGTTTCCTTCATACATGTAATCATAAATGTTATAATAAATGATTGGAAAATTATATAAAATGAATAATACAATATGGTACAAGGGAAATTCGCTAATAGGCCATGTAAAGAACAATTCTTACATCATAATAATATAGAGGTTATTTTAAACAAGATTAGACATGAAACCCAACAGAAAATCAGCTACAACTTGGAGTAAATTTAAATATATCCTCACAAATTAAATATTTACATCACAACAATGTTGTCTTTTTTACAAAAATAAATTACAATATAGTTACACACTTTTATTGCTCTAGTATTTATTCTCTAGCATGGTTCTGACTGCTACAAACAAACTTTTTACAAAGAACCATAATAGGCTAGAAGGTAGACTCTAACAGTTCTAAAAGTAGACTACAGAGTATTTAAGAGGTACAATGTCATTGATTTATGGAATCGTAAAAGTAAAATTTCTTTTCTAACGAAAGCTTTTATCAATTTAGTAGAACTTTAATTTGATCAATGTTTAGTCCCTCATTAATTAATATCTGTGTTCAGGTGAAACCAGGGAATACAAGGGGAGGTTGTTTCTACCCCCTCCTCCACAACATCCACCCCCACCCCCTCATCATGGCAGTGTTGCTGTCTTCAGTCAGGTCTGTATATCACCTAGGTTTACTGCTATAGGGACACACTTTATTATTCAATATAAAATATTCGAATAATAAGGACATCCCCCAAGTTTAATCAAAAGATATCCATAAATAAGCAAACTGCAAGAATTTCAATTTCCTCCATTTTAAATTTAATATTAACTTCGGTTTATCTCAATAACCGTTAGAGATAAGGAAAACCTTGTTAACATAAAAAAGATGTATTTTTAGGTGTTCTTTAATTTTTATAGTAACAAAAATTCTTTTTGTTACTATAAAATTAAAGAATTAATTAATTCATTCATTAAAGAATTAGGAATTTAAGAATTGAGAATTGATTAATTTATTAAGAATTGATTAATTGGCCGCCATTTTCCAATATGGTGGCTGAAGCACAGCCGGGATTTATGGGGACTTTTGACATTTTCATCAACTTAAAGGATTTTACATTTACAATTTATTAGGTCGAATTAGTTTTCCTAATATTCTCCCACTAATAAGTTCACAAGTAATTTCAACCAGGAATTTATGAAGTACAGTATCTTCATTTCTAAAATGAGACTGGTAGTTCCTCTGAAGCCTTGAAGTTTGTAGTTGAGGGTGATCATTTTTCATCATGATTAGTGTAAGCACATTTTTACATCAGTTTTCTCTCTGTGTTGTTTCTCTTGTAATTTCCCAGCTTTGGTTGAGTTCTACAAAATTGTTTTCGGCCTCTTGTCTTCTTGTTAAACTTGCCTGAAGACGGAAGCAGATTCCACATCACAGATGTTGTAACACTTGTTTTTACTTATCATGATGGTAAACTTCCAATCCTTCTAAAACATAAACTTACCATCACCAAAAACAAACTTATATGTCTTGAGGTATGTTGTTGATTGAATTATTGTTGTTTATTTCAGAGCTCACGTAGCCCACAGGCCAACAAACGGTTTGGCAACAGCGGTCCGGCGATGTGTTGTCAGGAGAACTCTGGCGGCCGTAGTAACAGTAGCAGCAACAGTTACGCTCCCTCGTGGCTCACCAGTCAAAGCACGAGAGAACACAGACACCCCCCACCACAGCAACATCCCCCTCCGGTATGTGCAACGTAAAGAGAGTAGATTATTAATTTTAGAATGGCCGAGGTGAGTTGGTAGCGCGACTGTGGTTGAATATTCAAGGGTACGGATCCTCGTGCCTGTCACTAAGTTTTATCAGCACAGTTCACACTTGTAGGGCTCGACTCACCCACCCCTTGATTTGCTGGAACCGCACGGGCCGGTGGCTTATGTAGGCAGGCAAATGCAAGGTTCCAACCCAACAGGAGTTTCAATTTCAAAATACTGCAATATATTATTATTTCTCAAAGAACTCAAACGTCAATAATGAGGTGTTGACTTCTAGTTTCTTCTTGTTCATCCAAGGGATGTTAACAGCTAATTTAGCCAAATTGTGATGTGATCCCAGTGAATTTTTGATAGGTTGTGAGTTCAGAATATAACAGTGGTGGATCTAGAACAGTCACAAGGGGGGGGGCGAACCAGGGGGTCGGGGGGTTTTGGGGGTACCCCCCCCCCAAGCAATTTGTGTAAACTTAAGTCTCCAAAACGGCAGTTTTATACCATTTCTTTGTTTAAAGTTAGTGTGACAAATTATTTAAGCATTTTGTATGCACTACTGTAATACATGCAGTAAAAAATATATGTATATGTCTGCCCGAGGGGGGGCGGTCGCCACCCCTGGATCCACCACTGGGATATAATAATCTTTAGCCTTAGATAGGGCAAGATGCAACTCCAGTGTACAAAATAATTAAGGTGTAGCTTAAAAAATATTGAGGAATAATTTTAAATCCTTTAATCTTAGTAAATTCCAAGAAACCCTTTAAATTTATTTCAACTTTTCAATTGAGAAACCTTAATATTTGTAGTATAAATACAATCTGCTCTGAATCAAATATTCCTACAGTGAAATAATTTTTGTCTAGATACCAAACTATCCGGCCAGCTACTCGTGTTGTAGTAGCAATCACTCTGTGAAGAGTCGAAGTCATCGAGAACGAGAAAGAGAACGAGATCGAGAACGGGATCGAAATCACTTACATTGCCACCACTCCAACTCTAGTCATTGTGATTGTCAAGAGAGTGCATCTCTGCTGTACTCCCATCCTCACAATTCGTAAGTACCGTAGGCAATGTAGGGTGTTAAGAGTTGATTTTCTGAACGTTTTTATAGGTCTTCAATAAGTATCAGTAGTTCTGATATGCCAATGAAACATAACAAAAGCTTTTTTTTATTCCCCAAAAATTATACTGTATGAATAATAAATAAGTCATTCCATTCCTACGCTTACATAAGACAAACTAAACTACTGTGCTAACACGTCGTATAGTTTCCTGTTATGACAGGAAGGAATCCCTCCCTTCAAATTAGAGTGTTTTACTATAAACTAATCAACACAAGTAGACTCCTCATCCCATTGTACATTTTGAATCTTGTTTTTTATGTCTAGTTCATGTACGTCCACACTGATCGCTATTGTAGACAAAATATTGTTTCTATTATTTTAGGGTTATTTTCATGATTTGTGCTTTACTATTTGGTTATATGACTAGGAGACCAGTTATTGTTTATGGTTAGGCCGTTTTATTTGGTTAAACGAGGTTTTAAATTACTGAAATAACAAGAAACAAATTGTAAACTAAACTTAACCTCTACAGTTGGACGTACAGAACTAACAATAAAATTGGCTTCACCTGTTCCATAAGGATGACAAATCTACTAAGGGAGTATGTTTTATCTATGGTTTTACCGACGTAACTTGGAACAACTTCATGTTAGAACTCGGCCTGTCCTGTGCTAGGACTTCAAAATACCAAGTGTATCAAAATGCATCTTAAAATTTTGAATTATTAAGAGATTCTTCACAGACTGAGCTTTCATTTTGAACTATCGAAAGTTTTGATTAACTGAGTGTTTGAATTACCAAGAGTAGACTTGTAAATAAATGTGAGGTTATGTTTCAGACCACAACAGTGCCATCAAGACTGTGGAGCCATGGACCGAGGCTGCCAAAGCTCCTTGCCAAGCCTTCACTCTGAAGCTCAATATCATCTAGTCGGTAAGTTGTAATGCCTCAGTGAACTGCCTACAATAATCCAGTGTCGTTATTCTCCCTTTTTTCCCTGTTTATTTAAAAGATTGTTGTAGTTGTTTGGGTTGTTGGTGGATAGTTTTTGTATCTTTGACTTTGCACATCCTATTGCCATATTAAAGTTATTATAGCTAGGTTTTGGAATAAAAAATGAACGTAGTTAATGAATTATGGAGCCTCCAACAGAATGGACTGATGTAAATTACCGATTGTTGTTGAATATGTCAACTTCAAAATGTAAATTTCAATGTCAAATACCACAGTAACAAAAGCAAAGGCAATAAATAGAGTTCTAGACAGTAGTACACGCTCTGGGAGTGGTTCGTTCAACTATGTTCCTTTCTAATTGGCTACGCTACAGCTGGTCCATATAGAGTTGTTGTGCACTTTTCTTCTGCAAACAAAATTGCACATTGTTATTGTAGGTCGAGTATTGTTGCAATGCAGCCCGATATTCAATTTCTTGTGTTTATAAATGGTGGTAAAACTTACTAGTACTAATTGGTGACTTACAGTAATGTCTGTTTGTTAACAGGCCAACACAGAGACGACAGGTGGCGGCGGGGGGGAGGAGCAGACTACGACGGCTGGGAAGGGGAGGGTGAAGACGCTAGCGACACCTGTTGTTCCTGCAGTGAAGCTTCCTGCACCTACGCGCAGACCAACCAGACACCGACCATGAGTCCCCTCACATCAGATTAGGTAAACACACACTTGAAACATATGGTACAAATGTGATACAATTGAGCCAACAGCCTACTGTGGGATGGGAAAGTCAAGTGGTTGATTTGGAACTTAAGAAAGGCTGATTTGGAAAGGATTACAAAAAATAACAAAAGTTACAAAACCTAACACTGATATTTCTTCCTAAAATATGACTTCTTCAGAGAATAGCTTGAGAGCCAACTATCTTTAAAATCTCTCTGATGAAGTTCTATATTAGGAAATGATGTCGGAGTTGTTTTGTGAGCTTTTATCGTCTATCTACTCAGCTTCAGGTCTCAAAATTTGGAAATGTGGAGGGTTAAAAGGTGTAATTATCATGTTACTGTTTAAGAATAGAGTGGACTTCACCCCGTTTCTTTTCTTATACCTATAAGGATTTAAAAAAAAAGAATGGTTTTTTGTTTTATTCTAAACTATGTACCTATTTCTTGATCTATCATTCACTAACTTTTAAAATATTTCCTTGAGGTATTATTTTGAAGTATGTGTAATTAATTAACTGAAAGTTTTCTGTCAACTGAGTTTCTAATTAGAATTATATATTTTTTAGGATTCACTGAACTACTCTAAGAACTGAAGACTCAACGGACTGAATCTCAAGGCCTTACCTGGCATTTTATCATCTTAAGTGTGAAAAGTCATTTTTATATCAGAACCTAACATTTTAACACTCTAATATTTATGATAATAAGTTTTGTTAGGTAATTTAATTATTGTCCTAGTTGTCTACACAATCAGAGTAGAAGATTTTTGACACCGGAATTCTTCCATAATAGCACTGTTTTAATTCTTTATTGTCTCCCCCATTCAAATTTTGCCAAATCAAATGTTCTTTTGTTGGCAAAACCATGTTAATTTGAATAATACCAAGACCAAGTAAATTCAAAAGTCATGAAGATTTCAAATTGTAGTTTGATATTTCAAACTAGATTAGCTTTTATATACAAATAGTAGGTTTACTTCTTTTTATTTTACTTGAACAAATCATTCATTTTCAACACAACCAACATGTGACGTAAAAGAACATTAACTTTCAGACAAAATGTAAAAGGTATGTGCCTTTAAATGGTACCAAGTAATAGAAATTCATATCATCCATTCCTTACAGTGATGTGGTAGTCTACGAGTAACAATAAACTTTTTTAAATTATCAACTTAGATAAATATCAGCTTCTGTGATATTGATTGTAGGCGGTTTTTTATCAGGTTGTGTTTGTAGTTTGTAAAACGATTGTATTTAGATTTCTGGTGTGATTACTGATTATTGTAAATGCTATAAATATTGACTAAGGTGTACATTATTGGAAAATCTTTTGTACGTATTCATGAAAATATAACTTTTAAGCAAAGTTGTTATCAATTTTTGTATATGTTAAATTGCTATTGCTACTGCTGTGTATACTAAGTAGATAAAAAATGTTACAGTCAATTTTGAAGATGATTTTATATTAAAATTCCCTCTAACCGTTTAAGTTCTAGACATTGTTAACACTGGTTTTCAATTATTAGTGCTGCATTTTCAACGATAATTGTTATTACTCAGATAATTATTATTCCTGATTATTTATATCACAATTTAACTTTAAACTACTTAGATCAGTTAATTTTTTTTTTAACCAAAGATTATGATGAACATTAAAATTATACAGGGTGGTCCTAAAAGAAATAAACAACTATATACACCTATAAATTAAGTAATGGACAAAAAAGGTAAGCTTTGATCTTCAAAATTCACAGCCGATGGGTTTAAACGGCTTTGTGGAGATCTGAAAATGTTTTCATGAAAACTATTGGCACCGTAATGTCAGGGAATATCTTTATGAGAATCTCCCAATGCACAGGACTGACATAACAACATATGTGAGCAGCTGACATAACAACCCAACGTTACGTTTTTGTTGTCCTCCACATAACCTGGTATCATTTTCTTGGGGTTTATATTTGTAGGATTATATGAAAGATAAAGCGCTTGTAATAACTCTCCTATTCAGCCTACTCTACAGACAATTAGGTCTGAACTGAAATATAGGATAAACTTGTTGTATATGATTCGAGGTTTACTCACTGAACATATATTGTACAAGGGAAAAACTTAAAACTATGTGCATTTGGAAAATGTAAATTCCATTCTCAATGTAACATAGTTGTATTTTGATCAACAAAGTTGTTTATTTATTTTAGGATCACCCTAGATTTTTATATGTATTAAAAATATAAATTTTAATCATTTTAGTTTAGTTATTCTTTAAAATGTTGAAGAAGGTATCAAATTTGGATAAGTTTACTTGGGTAGAAGTTTTATATTATATAGCACATGATTAAATTGTTATAGTACGAGTAAGTTTAAGAAATATTTTAAGGCCAATTGTATTAGAGGCAATAAAAGACTGAGATCGCATAAAATACGTACACCCTACTACGAACTAAACTTTAATATTTTAGATTTAATTTTACTTTTCTAATTTGCTCAGAATGTTACGTGATTTAATAATTACAATCCTTAGTCATCATTCTTAGTTATCAGAGAAAAATATAATTCTGTTTAATTTAATCTTAGACCCAGATGGATTAGAAGGCATGTATCCACAGACAATGATTAGAAGACATGGATCACCAGACAAGGATTAAAAGACATATAAGAAGGACAAGCAAAACCGTTTGTTACAATTTCGAACCAAAGATAAGTAAATTCTGCCTGAAAACTGATCACTTCAAAATGTTACTCTTTTTATATAAAAAAGGTAGATTCCGTATTCCTATTGTAGGTTGGTTGTGAGTTCACCACCACAAATGTATTAAACATTAAATATATATTTTATTTTTATTTTAGAAATTTAAACAATTTTTGCAAAATAGGTACGTGGAGGGGTTTGTTTGTGAAATGACTCAAATTTAACCTGACCAAATATCAAAGTAATTTAGAAAACTCAGTCCAACATACTTGATCATTCTGTATGTGGTATATCTGGACAGGCTTACTGTTGTCATTATTTTGTATCTGGACAATAAATCGCCAAGCACTTCCATATCCTGGTTAAAGTATACTCATGGTAAATTAAAAAACCTGTAAAAATAGCCAATGAAAATCAATGTAGACTATTGTTGTAAATTAACAGGAACCCAAAATACTATTACATTTCAATTTGTGGAAAAGATTAAAAGAAAGACGTCTTTAGTAATCAGTCATATCTATGACAGGAGGAATTGAAATCTAATGTGATTCAATGTATGCTACTAACATAAATAAAAATTCCAGATGGTATGCAAAACTGGTAATTGAAAAGTGTAAATTCGTCTCTGAACCAGAGTGTTTATGTGTTCCAAAAACATATCTAGAAATCATTTATTTTTATTATGAAAGACTGAAATCAAAGTGTCTGAAAAACTAAACTTCACAGATGTTAAACTCCAGTTACTCAACCAGTATTACATTCAAGGAAGTAATGTAATATTTCTAATTTCTACCCCGTCAGCGTTAATTGTTGTTGCCACGATAGACTGTCAATCGGTACTCGGTAGCTTGCCATTTGTAGTGTTCCATCCAAAAATGCAGATATTAGATCGCAACGTAAAATAAGAAGTGAACACAAAATATTGTCCGCAATATGCCATCAAGTCAAAAAGATATTTTGTGTTCCTTCAATGTGTAGATAAATGTGAAGCTGAGGTGGAGAGGCTGTTTTCCTACTGTTAGGTCACATCGGCTTACGATGTGTAAAAGTGTTCCTGCTATGTAAATCGCCTAAATAGTTTGTAACTTGTTTACTCGACTAATCGCTAATCATATTTGTATAAGTTTTGTATTGTACTAAATTTTGTATTTATTGTATTGTTTCTAAGTGTAAAATAGTGCCAAAATGTATTAATTTTGTGTAAATAGGTTGTATAGTGTAAAAAATTTGTAATAGAAAATAAATTATTTCGAAATATTATAGTTTGGATTTGTATTCGCCCAGAGGTTTTGTCCTGTCTGACGCATTCACAGACTTGTGTGACTCAAAGGAGTAAATTTGATGGATAGCTCTTTTTTGAAGAGCAAACAGTACCATTCTGTTGTTATCATTAGTGACTATACTATATCCCACAGAAAGAAACCCACAATGAAAAACTTTTATAATCTTACACCTTGGATACACATAATCTTAAAATGTTTCCTTTATTGGCCACTATTATTTGTATATTTTATTTTATACTTACGTACCAAGGAAAGTCAATAAGTTATGTTATGTTTAGGTTATAATTAAACTACTTTTTGGAGTATTTTATATCTAACTTAAACTTAGCCTTAGCTATCATTTCCCGACGTTTCCAATGATGGTAACAGTTTACTGGCACTCCTTTAAAGAACGAGTTGTTTTTTTATCTCTGTAAAATAGCCAATTGGAATGATGAACTAAATTAAAAACTGAAGATCAAGTAAAAAACTTTATAGGAAATATTTCACAATTATTAAGGAAAAATCAAACCATTTACATCAACAAATATATATATTTAAGGAATTATAAAGTAAATTATGTTTCACATCATAAAATTTACAAATTTAACTAACACTGTTTCACTTAAGGATAAAATAAATTAAGCTTTGGATATTCTTACAAGAGCCATTAGAGAATTATAATTACATCTTCTATATTTTACAATTACTGACAGTACAGTATGCCATTGGTATTTTTCCCTTTTGAAAAGAATTTTTTAGGAACAATTCTGGTTTTAGACTGTTTTGTAAGGACAACCTTATAATTTTTTTAACCCATTCCTGACTGAGTTATTTGTCAAGTATCATGCAGTTAGAACTGAGTAAAAAAGGACCAATGTACAATGTTTTGGTAAAAAACTCATTAAAAATGTAATTCATGAAATAAATGCCTAACACTTGTGCTGATATCAATCTACATAAACATTTCCTTTCATATGACACTAATTTTAAATAAAAAATATTTTATAGCAGTTTTCAATACATATATGCATATATATATATATTTTTTTTAAACAAACCTTTTAAAAATAAAAAATCTATTATTTTGTCAAATTTATATAGTATTCAATTTGTTACACAAAAAGTTTTATTTGGTTTGTTTGTATATAAAATCCTTCATTTTATAGCTGTTTTTGTAAAACTATGCAAAACAACAAAATAGGTCTAGGTCTAATACAATTTTTTCACCAAAATTTCATGTGTACAGAGCGTTGGGAGTATTGAAATAAATGGGAAATAATAGTCTAAGCATAATTATAATACTTTTGAAACTAATTACAAGATTGGGAAAATTAGGTAAATCAATAATAATGCATAGTAAAGCCTAATAATAACGCATAATGACGCATTATGCGTGAGGATGGGCGCTGCCCGTGTCTTTCATAACTACGATTTTTAGTCTTTCGTAACCTGACGAGGTAGGACGGGCGCCGCCCGTCTTTAGGCGGGAATTGGTTAATGCTCAAAACGTAATATATTCTAAATTAATATCTACTTACTAGAACCTTAAAGCTGTGAAAACTGTTATTAATACTTAAACATAAAAACCCCGATTAATTTTACTTAAAACTAATCAACTAGTTACAATGATGTAACTTTTATTAAAGGACACATTTTAAAACTAAAGCCCTATTAAAAGGCACTGTAAAACCTTGTGCGATTCCACTTCTTACACAGATTCATATGAATTATTCTTTCCGTTGAGGAAAGTTACAGTAAAACCTCTATTAACCGACACCCATAGAACCAGGAGAAATTCCTTTAAAATGTATGAAATGTCAAAGAAATTCCTTTAAAATGTTTGAAATGTCAAAATCACTAAGACAATTATTTTGGAATGAAATGGCACAGCATACACACCTGAATTCCAAATTTATCATATTCTTTGCAATACATAAATAAAATTTAATTTAAAAACTGTTGCCCAGCAAAAATGTACATTAACACATTCACTGCTAATGATATGTAATACTTTTATAAATGGCTAAAAAACATAAACATTAACATGATCATGTTAATTGAGTGACAATATATCTTTAATTAAATAAATTTTATACTATAAATTGTGGATTAAAATATATTATGTAATTATATACATCATGTATTATATATCTGCTAATATACTTATGACGCACAAGTGCGTCATTAGCAGTGAACGTGTTAAAAATAGCAAAACACATTTTTAAAATGACAGACAACAGAAGGTTTGAAGAGGGAGGTTAAACGAGGTTCCACTATACATTTGAATGATATTTTCCTATACAATTCACATATTATTTACACATTGTACATCACTGACTAGCAGTCAAAAAGGTCATGAGAAAGCGTCGCACATAAAGTCTCTGTATGACTTGCTAGCGTGTATGCCCAGGCCCTGGAGGTAGTTGAAGAATCGGTTGGCTCGTCTCGTATAGTTGGCCAGCCTGACTTGCTCGGATCGCCCTAATTCCCGCAACACAGGCAGGTAGTCACAAGTCACTCCCTGATGGTTGGTGTGTGCCGTCGTCGTAATACCCGGCATGTACAGCTGCTCAGCTTGCCTCAGAATAGAGAGCCACCTGAAAATTGGAGTTTTTAATAATCTGCTGTGTGGCATAATATAATACCCCCGCAGCAGCAAACCTGCAGACTAAGCAAATTTCAACTTGTCTGATTACATTTTTATAAAATATTTCCATAAATAAGACATATTTATCCCAATTTAAATAACATTAGATTTGACGAGTGCTTAGGTTTGCTGCTACAGGGAAGATAAAAAGTGCTTTTTGACCATACGTCAATAGTACAAAAAATGTTATGTTATATTTGTACATCTGATACAAGGTTTGAGGGTGTACAGTAGTTGACCTGTAAGAGTTAAACCATATTTACAGAGCTTTAGCACTAACTTGAGAGATTTAAGCACATAAAATAGACCCATAAAACGATAGGTCAAGCTGTATTTCTAGCCTACATTTTACAGTCCAAATTTATTTAATGATGGATCAAATAAATAAATTTGCCAAATTTTATCAACATATATCCATAAACAAGTAAACTACAACAGTGCTAATTTTCTCCATAAGAATAACATGGGAATTTTTAATTACACTATTTTTGAATTTTCTTCGTGACCGTTAGGCATACTGTTGAAGAGCTTAATTTAAGATAAACTCACAGATTAACAAACACTTCTAACATTATTTTATTTTCATGAACTGAACAAGAATTGTGTATATAAAAACTAAAAAACAAAACATTGGCAGATGACTAATTTAAATCATTTAAATAATCAGCTGACAAAAGCAAGTAAAGACTATTTGAAATAAATTCATTTTACCAACATCCTCCCTTTCTTAACTTTTTTTTATGTCTTTAAAAAGCGTCTGTTGCGAACATATAAGTTTCCACCAACTTGTACCACATATCTTCGATCTCTTTCTTTTTTTATAACTTTACCTTCTACCCAGGGATCCCTTCTCTCTTGAGGTTTCCTTTGAACCCAAACAACTTGTCCTGGTATCAGTGGGGCGAGGTCTTTAGCTCCTTTGTCAAAATATGTTTTGTATGCATCTTTCTTTTTATCCCACTTTTCAATTACTTTCACAGGAACATTAGGACGCAGCAGATCTTCACAAGTGGGTACAAAGCTTTTAGTTCTTCTAGACATTAACAACTGAGCTGGACTCTTACCAATTTCTTTGAGTGGTGTATTTCTCAACTCAAGAAGAGCCTGCTGAAAGTCGCCTTTGTCTTCTCTCACTTTTTTTAAAATACTCTTAAATATCTTTACAGCAGATTCAACTTTTCCATTTGCCTGGTGGTGATATGGAGAGGAAGTAATTATCTTAAATTTCCACTCTTCTGAAAAATCTTTAAATGCTTGACTTAATATAGGGGTGCCACTATCACCAACTACAATGTCTGGAATGCCGTATCTTGCAAATAACTCTTTACAGAAAACAATCAATGATTCAGAGGTACATTTTTGTGTTTTCCTAATCTCAAAAAATGACGAATAGTAATCAGTCACAATAATGAAGTGAGTTGAGCCTTCTTGAGCAAAATCAACCCCGATTCGCTGCCATGGTCGTGATGGTGTTTCTTGAAGTAAGAGGGGTTCTTTCCGTTGAGTCGGTGCATATTTCTTGCATACTAAACATTTTTCAACTTCTTTTCTTATATCTCCTGCCATTCCCGGCCAAAAAAATACATCTTTTGCTCTCCTTATACATGATTCAACCCCTTGATGTGAAAAATGAATTCTATGGACTAGTTCAATTGTCATGCTACTTGGGATAACAATCCGCTCTCCTTTGAGGACAAGTCCGTCTTCAACTCCAAGCTCTTCCTTAAAAGGCCAGTAATTCCATAGCTCCTTGGGAACTTGAGTCTTTCTATTAGGCCAACCATTTATAATCACCGGTATAAGCTTCTGAAGCACGGGGTCTTTGTATGTGTGTTCTTTCAGTTGGTTTAAACGCTCATCCGTAACATTTATGTACTCTAAGGACTTACACTGTTCAAACTCCTTTGTCGAGCTGTTCATTGAGGTTTCAAAAATCATTACTGAATTGTCCTGCATACTGCATTCATACTTAGTTTCTGGGGCGCGTGACAAAAAATCTGCTAAAAGCATTGTTTTACCTGGTCGATAAACAACAGTAAATGTAAACTTCTGCAATCGCAGCAACATTCTTTGCAACCGCTTAGGTGCGTTGACCAAAGGTTTTTTGAAAATAGTCTCAAGAGGTTTGTGATCGGTTTCTACCGTAATATCACACTTACCGAACAAATACTGTTCAAACCTTTCAAAGGCAAATAGAACTGCCAGGCATTCTTTCTCGATCTGAGCATAGTGGCATTCTGTTGGATTTAAAGTCCTTGATATATATGAAACTGGCTTACCATTTTGCAATAGCGAAGCACC